ACTTAAAATCCAGATGCTCTGTCGAAGTTACTTGGTTATAATCGAGCTCTCTGAACTGCACAATGCCACACAATACACATACCTCGCTAATATCGCAAAACTAAAGATGACTCCTCCACCCTTCCAAACCGATTCACTATCATCGTTGTAAAAAAAAGTGATGTCCTGCTCAAATTCGCATTGAGGCAATGCTGCCCTCATGTTTAAAGCCCTGAGCCAGTGATGGGAATTCCGCGTTCCTGTGGTAGTCTATCCGCAGGACAAACCGCAGTTGACTTTCCCACAAGTTGGTGTGAATTTTATCGACCCCAGAAGGATGATGGACTGAATCAACCCCCGACAAGGGAATTTAACTTGCAAGTTTCCGATTGCGAGAGGCTCTCGCGCTGAACCTGCTATCACCATGATCCTGAGTGTTAATGACAACACACTCCTTATTTATTAGTGCTGACAATGATGCAATCAGGAGCCGAGCAGCACTATTAAAGCTGGTGTCATAAAAATGGCCAGTATAAAGCAAGATTAAAACAAATTGAACCGCAGGACGCCTCTGCAGTGGAGAAACTCCGGCCAGAGGTGAAGCAAGATGGTAAAAGTTGCTCTACTCGTGTTTCGGACATGGGCCAAAACACAAGGCTTAACTCTCCGTCATCATGAGCTGAGACTCTCTGAATGCACGGCGAAATAGATGGTGCCCGTGGGCCAGTAATCATCCACGGCAGTGGGAGGGGCTTGCGTGACCCACAGCAGCATGTCATTGGTTTGGTTCCAACACAAATACAAAGGGGGTTTGGGTACGGAAGCCTTATACAGTAGTCACGCATGTGGATTGTGTGGTTGTGAGTGGATGGTGGTGTGCACGTTGTTGGAAATGCGAAATGTGTGTTTCTTGCGCAACGTAAAAATCTTCACACAAGTCGCAAACAGAGGTATCACTAGAGGGGTGCAGGGGGTGCGGACCGCACCGGGTGACACCATCAGAGGAGGTGACACCAAAATGACTGTCAATACAATTTTAGTGCAGTGTTTCAGCAGGAATGTATTATTTTTTCATAAACAAAAATATCCCCGTAGTTATAACAACACATTTTTTTCGTAAGCCCAGCTTACATGTACTGTGTCAATTTACCTACAAGGCTAAAACTCTATGCTAATTTACTTTTTGAACCTTCTAATGCGCTCTGGTCAAAGCAGTCATTGTTACCCAACTACAGTGGCACTTCGTTCGTCTGCACGCGCCGCAAGGACGCGCTGTTGTTTTCGTTGCTGCTCGTGTTTTTATAGTCGCTGATTTTGTTAAATTTGTTGGTGTTTTAGCTACAATATTGTGGTAATTAGTATTTGTGAACCTGTATCAATAACTCTTTTGAGAATGAAGTAGTAATTAAAGGAAAAGGAGAAAATTCTAAAAAGGCTTCCGCTCCGTTACTAATAATATTGTAACTAATGATGTTGTAATGTATGGTCTGGTACGGGAGGAGGTCGATGGGAGTGACACCATATGTTACCGCACTGGGTGATACCAACCCTAGTGACGCCACCGGTCACAAGCACTCCATTATCACGAGCCCCACGAGCAAACACTCCTCTACCACAACACTCAGTCACGATCCCCAACATATCTCTAAAAAAACACAAACGTCGCTGCGTTTTATTTCTCCACACGACTCATAGACCACGCATTATAAAGACACGATGTGCCGCACATTTACAACACGTTACTACTCTTCAAAATAAAATAACATTTCCAACAACAATGGACTTCTTCAAACTCCCAATAGTACTTACACAATCTACTTAACACAGACAAATACCTGTTTAAAACGTAATATGCTTTCGCAACCAATATCCATGAAAGGTTTTTTTTTGTGGGGTAAGATCGCGTAAATATAAATGCGTCATTAAACTCGCCACCACCCGACACAACCAATTAGTAATGTTTGTCACGTAAACAGAACATGCTAATTTGTTACTAGTTGAGCACACTGGTGTGTTGGAGAGTCAACCCACAACGTTTACAATTCGAGTACGACGTTTCGCCGGTAACCTCAAGACAATCCACATCACGCGATTTTAAGACCCGAGACAATAATTGTGAATCTTCTAAATACCTCTCCTCAGCCTCCAGACACCCACTCACTGCCCCCCTCAGTCACAATCCACATTCATGACTACGCCGCTTCCTGGCTCAAGCCCCCATTGTGTTTGCGTTGGAACCAAACCAATGACCTGCTTCTGTGGATCACGCGAGACTCTCCCACTGCCGTGGCTGATAACTCGCCCATGGGCACCATCTACTTCGCCGTACATTCAGAGCGTCTCAGCTCCTCACGAAGAACAGATAAGCTTCGCGTTCGGCCCCTGTCAGAAACGCGAGTAGAGCAACTTTTACCATCTTCCCTCACCTCCGGCCGCCGGCGTTTCCCACTGCCAGAGGCGTTTCGCAGTGCAATTTTCATCTCGTTTTCTCCACCGCGTCGTAATGCGTTTTCTCGCTATCGAGTAGCTATGGTAGACTTTCCGAAACTTTGAATGCGAGTGCCCAGTGATTCTCATGCGCCGCTCAGAAGAACCACGTGGATTGAATCCGCTGCTAGCATGACGCTCTGCAATTGTGTAATCCTTCCTCTTGCAGTGGGTGGTAAGGATCGCCGTGTCAACAGAAATCTCTCGGCACCCTATCAGAGCTCAGCTCCCTTTGCTGCACGATGTTCATGGGTTAATGTAAGAGCAGCGCTTGGAGGTCACGTGTCGGCTGTACAACCCATTGTGGGATCGAGCTGAAGGAAGCAATGTTGCCATGTGTATTATTGCGGTGGCCAGATGTGGGGGGCACCAGGGTGACGAGATGTTAACTACCATGCCGCCTACATTTTTGGAGTTTGCACGTTCTCCCCGTGGTCCTCCGTTTTTTCCTCCACATTTCGAATCGACATGCGTTCCAAGTATGTCCCTGCTATAAATTTCCGCACGATAAGCCACTTTGTTGAGCCATCATTTGTGGCCAGATCGCTTCTGAAAAGGACCTTTTGTCGCTCAGTGCGCCTTACCTGGCGAAATTAACATAGTAAAACAGTATAGTCTTCAATGGCAACGGGTATAATGACCTTTGCAAAAAATTCTAGTCAAATATTGACATTTAGTCCTGTGCGCTGCATTAAACGTGAATGCTCAGTGCACACTGCTCTCTAATAATTGCAGGTTTGCGTTTTGCAGAAGTATACAGATATTAACGGCGCTGGCCACAAGCAAACCCCACAAAAGCTTTGGGCTCCTATCAGCTCAATGGGCCCGGATTCATGAAAAAATAGGTGTATCAAAAATAATCTCAAATCGTTAAAAAACATATCAGGCTAATTCACTATTTTTTTAAAGCCATTTAATCTATCTCACTATCTTATCTGCATCTTTTTTCTCACTTCAATACATTTCTATTTTGTCCACATTCCACTGGTCTATCTCGTCTATATATATATTCTGTTACCTCAATGGGATGTTATGCATTCAAAGAGGGGAGCTAACAAAATAACCCCCAATAAAATCTGCTTTAGGGCCCAACAATGAGGCCACACCAGCTCTGTCTACACAGCTGTGTGGCCAGGAGCACTCATTGACGAGTTGATGAGGAATTTTCTTGAGGAATGGATGCCCGAGCTCTTCCTCAAGAAGGCCAAAGAATGATTGCATTTGTAATTTAATGATTAGTTAAGCACCGGTGCATCTTACATAAGCGAGCCTCGCCAAGTCTACAACACTCTCTTCAGCGTGGTCTTGCTAGGGGGCATTAAGCGCAATGATTATTTCGGGACATTTTGCACTGTCCTGCAAATACACCGGCTGACCTTACACACTGCAGGAGCAAATTTGATTTGCAAGCATCTGTCTTGGCATCGTCACCAAGATGTCGTAGAAAATGATATTCGAATATAAATATGTTCCTACCCGGTTAGAGTTCATCTTTGTGTTTAATCCAAGTATTTACTGGACATCTGTGAAAAAGAGATTTATAGCTCACCGGATTCCACCCAGTATAAATCTATTAATAAATATTGTTGTAGTCATAGTAGCAGTAAAGTTACTACAGAATACACATTGCGGAATACACTGTTGTTGAAATGTAGATACACTGTTTGGTTAATTTTGTGAATTATAGATTAATGAGGCTTTTCTCAAATAAAATGAAATGTAAAATAAAATAATATGCATTCAGTTGTGCGTATGACCACAAAATATAACACGCTGGAATGGTTTCGTAATTTAGCCACCTCAAATTCCAGATGAGGATCAACCCAAGTCTTCAGTATTTACAAATGTCTCGCATAAACAATCACATTATTTTAATTATTACGCATATTTTCAATAAGTGATCCATTTCCTTTGGTTCTTTCGGTAAAGTCACATAGATAGAAATGTTTTAAATGAAGTGAATAAAAATATCACGACGTTTCGATTTCCACGCAAGTAGTCCTGATCACGACCGCTTGTGTTGTGATCGAAACATTGTGATATTTGTATTCACTGTATTTGTATTATTATTTTCTCTCTCTATCTACGTAACTTTACCGAAAGAACCAAAGAATATGAATTCCTGCAGTCACGAAAGTTTTAAGTCAAAATTTAAGTGGTACATTCTCTGGCTCGTAAATGCTTGTTTAAAAGCTGTTAATACACAACATATGTTTAATTATTCTGGATATTCTACTGTAGAATGTGGCGGGGTTTTTTTTAAATATAAAGCCCATGTGGAAATTTGTTGTAAATCATAAAAAGAGCAGACATACAAACAACTATTTTAAATAGTTTCAGATATAATCCAAAATTTACTTTAACATATAGATCTAACAGTTATATTGTTTGGTTACAAAAAAGGTCATAGAAATATAAAAAGTGTGACATTTGGTTTCAAATGAGTGACACTGCAATGGAAATCTCAAGCATTGTGTGTGATTGAAGCCGTTATTCATAACGTGAGCACATTTTGAACGAGAGGCGAATCTTACCTTGAGCGGGTTTCTCTGTTAAATGGACATCCACTCATGTCGGCGTTTGGTAGGAAATGGCCTCGTTCTCTTCTTTCGATACTTAAAAGACACCCAATAGCTCCCGTGTGGGGGATGCCACCCAGAATTTATTTGAAATCTGCAAGCCTCGCCCACTGTGGGATTGGCTCGGTGAGTCTACATGTGCTGTCCTATGGGAGGGCCGGCTACACAGCCACAGCCTTTAGCCCGAAAGCAAACAGCTGGGGGGTTGGTTGTCTGTGACAGCATGGGGTTTGTGGGCGACAAGCTTGGCATGAGCGACAATGTTCATGCGCATAGGACAAAGGTGGCGCACTGCACTGCAAACCCAGGCAACCGAGATCGATTCCCACTCAACCTAACATCAGTGGCAATTATCTGAACCAGTTCTGAGCCTCCCCTTACTTTTACTCAGCCTAAAATGAGTACCTGGTGCACTGGGGACACAAAGGTGGACAGGTGTAATTCTGGTCACACCGTGTCGTCGTGCACCGTGACGGTCTTCATAGGTGAGCATCGCTAACAGCATGTACCCCATCAGCCTGTGAAGGCTACAGTGAACTTTTGCCTCGTGTGTGCTGGCAATACTTGCACCTAATCTGTGAAGCAAGAGAGATCTTTTCTATTGCGTGGATGAGTGCATGCATTCCTGTGTGCCTTCGACAAAGCCAGTCAATTATTGCATGTTTTAGTCCGACCCCATTTGAAACGTTTTACAAGTGTAGCAGCCTACCAGAGAAAATACCACTTCATTTGACAATGATAAAAAAGCTGAAGTGTAATTGAGTGGAAATAGCACCAGCTGACGGTGTAGAATGGTACAAATTGAAAATTCATGAGAGATGCGATTGTCTCCAAAAGGCAGGCACTCCCCATTTCCCACAATTCCAGATTCTCCGTTTTGTCCTCTGACAATTAACTCTCGATCTTTGCCTCCTCGTCATTGAGTTGGGATGAGGAGACGCACTATGGTGTTGTACAGTGCACACAACCCACCGACTGTGCGTCTCAAGGTCAGTTCCACCAGACATCATCGAAGAAACACGATTGTCGGCTGTTGACGAAATGTTTCCAATCTTGGAATGATACGTCAATAAATATTCCATGCGAAAACCTTCCCATGCTCTACAATGCTGGCCATTCAGTGTGGGTTGTTGGCAATGGGAAGTGGTAGTGCTACGGTCAACGCGCTGCACTACGAACCCAGGTGACCCGAGTTCAATTGCCACTCACGGCCAACACCAGTGACGATTATCTGAATCGGGTCCTGGGCCCCCTCGAACGACTCAGCCTCAAATGAATACCTGGTGCGGTGTATAACCATCGCCACTAGGGAGACTAAAGCGGCCGGGCGTGGTGCTAGCCACTTTCTCTTGTGCCGTGCCAGCCTTCATAGGTGCTCGCGAACAGCTCTTGCCCCAAACAGTATGTTAAGGCTATACAGGGGATCTTTATCTTTGTTGTTAACAATGGCTGGGGCTGCCGGGTCAGAATGCAGGGTGCCAACTACTGCATCATCACCCCATCCAATCTGTAAATATTATCTGGTTTAATTTACACCTACGTTTTACATTGGTTAAGCAATGAATCTTCGTAAATTGTAATTCACAGCTTCCAAAATTCCACATTGAACTACATCGATGTTGTCTGCAGCTGTGAGCTCTGCTTAAGGCTTAAGCTATAGTGGTAGCATGGTGTATAATCACAGTGGACTGCACTCCACATCGCCTGTTCAATCTTCCCTCACTCTGTTTCACCAGCAGCAGCTGAGTGGATACACCACAGTGGAGCGATCGGCAATCTGGCGACTGGGTCATTACATCCCTCTGGACACATGGAATCCCAGCTCAGGCGGAAGCCCCCAAACAAACCAGAACTCATATACTGGCACACTTTTCAAACATTATTTACTTACAGCAACCACAATTAAATATATAACAAAAACACAAACAGGTTGAGTTGTCACCAGACGGAACAAAACAGACAATTCAAACGGTAGCGCGTAAGATGCACCACCATCATGAGTGTCTGGAGGATAACGATCGCCCGGGTAAGTTTAGCAGTTCCACTGTCCAGGCGCAAATGGATATTCAGAGTCCCTGGTGCTAGATTCGCAGTAAACAGGGCTCGGCTCCAGCTGATCAAACCCCGCTTTAACACACACAAACATTTTCTTTGGAGCTTTCAGAAATGCATAAAGGGATCAGCTCCGGTTGATCAAATCCTGCATGAACAGATTGTATCTGAAAATCTTCCAGAAATGTGTAAAGGGCTCAGCTCCTGCTAATCAACCCCCCGCGTTGGCACATTTTCTATACGGGAATTAAAGAACGCTTTACAGAGGGGCTTACCTCCTGCTGATAAAAACGCCGAAGTTAACACAAAGGTCGTCATCGTGGCTCTTCCTTAAAACCTGCAAGGGGCTCGGCGCGACCACGTGTCACGCGACGCAAAGTCGACGCGAGCAGGGTGGGGGAAATGGTGAGGGCCGGCACCACACGAGGCCTTGCTGGCATGGCGAGCGCCTGCCCGGGGTAACTCCCACCACTGCCAGGCCTTCGTGCAGCCTTCATCGCTCAATCTCCACGAGCAACTTCTCTGGGGCACGTCATGCGACCCTCTGCCACGCCGCCGGGCCTGGCTGTGGACTCGACGGGTCTGCCCCTGGCAGGTCTCCCTATTCTCCTCAGTGTCCTCGTCCCCCTATATAGGAGAACAGTCCATCCTCTACGACCCTCCTAGGGGGGTACTCCCCCCCCCCTCCTCCGAGTTCACCTTTGTGCACCACAGGTTCATCACACACCCCGACTGGGCAACCACTCCACAACCTCACGACCTCACGCAGGGGTTAATATTCTACCCCCCCCCACCCCCGCTTCATTGAGTCGGAGGCGCCCATGAGATTATCGGTTTATGAGTGTGACTCTATGTAGGTGGATATCTCTACACGTATATGTGTGTTTCTGTGCGTGTGAGTACAGGCGAAGTTGGCGAGGTCATGGCGCTTGTTAACCAGGTAAGGCACCCCATATACGAAGCTGCTGTTGCATAAGGGCACCCCAGTTTCCTGAAGATGTCCCCGAGAGAACCGTAAACAACAGCATGTGTATTCCACATCGAGCTTGCCTCTGCATAGCCAACAAAGGGGCCTCCAGACAAAGGTTCCTTTGTTCCTTGGCTTGCTTGTGTGCTTATTTGCATGACTGCGTTGGCACTTGTGGGCGTGTGATGACCATGGTGTTACTCTGTGAGAGCTGTGCCTCCTGGGGGGAAGGGGAGGGGGTGCCTGCTCTGCCCTCAGCAGGTCACGGGTGCAGGGTTCAGCACAGGGCATTGCCCCGTGGTATACGGCTCACACTGGTTCCAACCCCACGGCAATAAACGTGCAATGTTGACAAACCCAAGCTGAGGCAGCGAGATCACCAAACCAGGAGTGACTGAAATTTGTTATTCCTAAAACTAACTTTCTACATTATGTAACCCCGTCCCAGTACTGACCCTGTTCAAGTGTCACACTAAACCAGTCCTGACCCCTCTAAGGACAAATTCATGGATAAAGTGTCCTTCAATAGACAGTAACAATTAGAGGGAACAAAAAAAAGTGTCAATAATTAGTTAATCCTGTAAAACCATAACCCGAGTCTATGATAAACTGTCGCACAATAACTAGTATAACGATATTCTTGGTTCTTTCGGTAAAGTCACGTGACTTTACCGAAAGAACCAAGAATATGAATCCCTGCAGTCACGAAAGCTTTAAATCAAAATTTAGTATAACGATATTTGTATACTTCCAGCTAACTGCATGATACGTTAAAACCTGGTAACCTATCCCACATAGATAACAAAAATGATTACTAACTTACTGATATTCACCTGACTTACTGATATTCACCTGACAGTTTACTGACTGATTACACTGGTCTACAGTTTTTTGGACGCCGTCTGCTTAAGAGATTAAATGTGCTGTTTATCATGGGTTTTGATGTTCTGAATTCAATTATGACAACTAAAACAACTGATTGTCTTCTGTTCCCAAGATATTTAAGTGTTTACATTTTACGTCTATGTATATTGTGTTGATAGAGTTTTACTCATAAATTGTAAACCTAGGTCTTTTCATGTGTTTATGGTTGCTTTACATGATAAAATGTTAACTGTCCTGTTCATGTAACACTTTATAAATTAGCAAAAGGGTTATATTAATAAAATGTATTATGAAACAAAAGGAAACAAGCTAATATGTATATATATATAAAAGTACATAGTTTAGTCCTTATTCAGTGTCTACTTGGCACTTCTTGGCCTGTCTCTTGTGTTCATTAAATGGAGCATCTCTTGTCACTGTCCAGCCATAGTCTGCAAGCATTGATGGGCTCCATTTGCCCTGATAGGGTTTCTCCATTGTTGCAATGTCCTGGTGGAGTCGCTCGCCATGCTCGTCGCTCACTGCTCTGCAGTTCATTGGTAAAAAATCTAGATGAGAGTGCAAAAAAGTGTATCTTTAGTGACATGTTGCAACCAAGGCTTTTGTATACCTTGAGGAGGTTTTCCACAAACTCCCTGTAGTTGTCTGTCTTGTTGTTTCTGATAAAATTTGTTGCCACTAACTGGAAGGCTTTCCATGCCGTCTTTTCCTTGCCATGCAGTGCACTATGAAATGCATAATCTCCAATAAGTTCACGAATCTGAGGACCAACAAAGACACCTTCCTTTAACTTAGCGTAACTTGATCGTGGGCATTTTCCACGGAGGTACTTGAAAGCTGCTTGTGTTTTGTCCATGGCTTTGACAAAGTTCTTAATCAGACCAAGCTTCATGTGTAGGGGTGTAACAACATCTTCCTTGATTCAACAAGTGGTGGATGCTGATAAAATTTTCCTCCCAGGCTCCAATGACTGTCGGAGTGGCCAATCTATCTTGATGTAGTGGAAATCTCTCGCACAACTATCCCATTCGCAGAGAAAATAACAGTACTTTGTGTATCCAGTCTGCAGACCAAGCAAGAGAGCAACAACGCTCAAATCGCCAAAAAGCTACCACTGATGTTGGTCATAGTTTCTGCACTGCAAAAGTTGTTTAATGTTGTCATAGGTTTCCTTCATATGGACTGCATGACCAACTGTAATTGATGGCAAAATATTTCCATTAT